AATAACAGGATTTAGAGAATTATTCAGGAAATTGTAATATTTTGAGTCAGTAATTTTATTAATCAATATTACTATTAATAACATTTTTTCTTGTGTCTTAGGATTGCTTGGTAATGCTTTTTCCTTTCTTCTGCCAACAGAAAAAATATAGAAAGGGGTTTATCGATATTGCGAAAATCAAGTGTGTGGAAATAGTGAAGAATGATGGTGGTGTCATTCCCTGTCAAAATAAATACCCGTTTCAGGTGAGCTGCCGTGTTTTTGCAATAATGCGGAGCTGGGCTTTTAGTCCTGTCTGCTGTCTGACATTAGCGTGTGCTCTGGTGGCTGACTTTTAGGTTCATTTCCCACTTTACTAGTTACTGCTTTGCTTCATAAATGGCTTAGGTCATTGTTGAAACTTCTCATTCTCGTTAGGGGCTGCTAGATTCCACCGAAGGGTGCTGAGTTTCCACACCCCAGATCTGAGTTGCTTACTCAGATTTGTTTATCCCAGAGCAGTTAGAATAAGGAGTGAGGAGGGAGCTGGGACTGAAAACAAGGGGCGTGAAGTTTTCCTTGTGAATCTGAAAAGCTGAGACGTGGCAGGCGTAAGTCACTTTCTAACAGAAACGAGACGAAAAGGCTGCCTGGGGTGAAAAATGACACTATTAGCGTCACCTATTGATGGAACTGTGCTTTTTAAAGGGTGATCATGTAGGCCGGGCGTGTGGTGGCTCACGCCTGTCACCCTAGCACTCTGGGAGGCCAAGTTGGAAGGATCGCTCGAGGTCAGGAGTTCGAGACCAGCCTGAGCAAGAGCGAGAACCCCCCGTCTCTACTTAAATAAAGAAAGTAAATTAATTGGCCAACTAAAAATATATAGAAAAAATGAGCCGGGCATGGTGGCGCATGCATGTAGTCCCAGCTACTACTTGGGAGGCTGAGGCAGGAGGATCACTTGAGCCCAGGAGTCTGAGGTTGCTGTGAGCGAGGCTGACGCCACGGCACTCACTCTAGCCTGGGCAGCAAAGTGAGACTCTGTCTCTAAATAAATAAATAAATAAATAATAAAAGGGTGATCGTGTCATTTTTTTTTCTTTCTGACAATGATCCTATTGCGTAAGGGTAAACATCATGCTGTTCTCACTTATGCCCGAGGGAATCGAGGCTCACGGCTGTCGGGTGGCCGTCCAAGGTCACTCTGTGAGTTAAAGCCTGTGGAGCAGCACACTCACATCTGCTCGTCCCCAAGGAGGAGGGGGACGGCACCCCGAGCCACTCTGCGCCCATGGGACGTCCCAGGATCTTGGGGCGCACGTGCCTGAGAACTCAGGAGAGTGGAGGTGGACCCCCAGAGCAGGGGTCCTCAAACTTTTTAAACAGAGGGGCCAGGTCACCGTCCCCCAGACCGCTGGAGAGCGCGCACTGTGGGCCCGGGACGAGTCGGCTGCTAAGCAGGACAGGCAGCGGCGGCAGAAACACCCGGCGGGCCGGACACCTGTGCTAGGTGGCCCGCATGTGGCCCGCGGGCCGCAGTGGAGGACGCCTGTTCTAGAACTTTCAGCAGGCACATAGAGCCGGTCTCCAGCACCTCACCTTCGCTTTTTCCAGGATGTTTTCCTGCTCTTCCTCGGAGTGGCGAACATCCCAAATGAAAGTCGCCTTTTGCCCAAGATTGCGGTCTCGTCCTGGTCCGAGGGGACAGCTGCAAATGTCTTTTTCAACGTAGAATCCCAGTGGAGTTTTTGCTTGCCTCTGATCGCTACTGCGAAGCGACCAATTGCATTTGAAATAAACACTCACCACTTTGGGGCATTAAAGACGTTTGGGAGCCCCTGAGCTAAGATCTCTAAGCTTCTGGATTGTTCTTCTCAATGGTGGCAACCACACAAAAGGAGGAAGGAGAATATTTAATTTTCTTTTCTCCATTCCTCATTTTATTTATTTTTTTGAGACAGAGTCTCGCTTTGTTGCCCAGGCTAGAGTGAGTACCGTGGCGTCAGCCTCGCTCACAGCAACCTCCAACTCCTGGCCTCAAGCGATCCTCCTGCCTCAGCCTCCCGAGTAGCTGGGACTACAGGCATGCGCCACCATGCCCGGCTCACTTTTTCTATATATATTAGTTGGCTAATTAATTTCTTTCTATTTATAGTAGAGATGGGGGTCTCGCTCTTGCTCAGGCTGGTTTCGAACTCCTGACCTTGAGCGATCCACCTGCCTCGGCCTCCCAGAGTGCTGGGATTATAGACGTGATCCACCGCGCCCGGCCTTAACTTTTTCTATATATTTTCAGTTGGTCAATTAATTTCTTTCTATTTTTGGTAGAGTCGGGGGCTCGCTCTTGCTCAGGCTGGTTTCGAACTCCTGACCTTGAGCGATCCTCCCGCCTCGGCCTCCCAGAGTGCTGGGATGACAGGCGTGAGCCACCGCGCCCGGCCAGTGGTTAATGTCTTTAAAAGAACGTAGCATAGACCTGGGCGAGGCAGTGCTTAATCAAGTTAGCTACTGCAATTATTGACGGTGGGAAAAACAAGCTTGAGACGTGATCCTGACAGTCCAGTCCATTCATCTGAAATACTGTTTAGAAAAATACTGGCTTAGGATCATCCCTGTGACACCAAATTCATCTAAGGAACCTTAGTTAATTAGCTTGAAAGAAATCCCAGCATTAATGAAGCATGGTGGCCTCTGTATATTTTTTCTGCTATGAAAGCACAGTGGTTTGCAAAATCCTGCCCAGTGTAGAAATGAAGAAGTGTAAAGATTAGTGAACAAAAATCAGACACACATAATAAGCCGGGCATGGTGGCGCATGTCTGTACTCCCAGCTACTCGGGAGGCTGAGACAGAAGGATCACTTGAGCCCAGGAGTTGGAGGTTGCTGTGAGCTAAGCTGAAGCCATAGCACCCTAGCCCGGGCCCTAAAAGTGAGACTCTGTCTCAAAAAAAAAGAAAAAATTAATAATAATAAAAAAGGTCTTACTTACCAGAAAAAGCAGGGAGGGAGAGATAATAATTCTCTCTCTCTCATCTCCTCTCTCTCTCTCTCTATGTATGTATATATATATGTGTATATATATATACATATATATATATATGTCTGCTATAGACAGAATAAAAGATATAAGCAGGGAGGGAGACAAAAAATTCTCTCAGGCCCAGCACACCTGCAATCCTAGCTCTGGGAGCAGGCAGGTGGAGGATTGCTGAGGTAGGAATATCAAAACCAGCCTGAGCAAGAGGAAGACACCACTGCTACTTAAATAGAAAGATTTAATTGGCCAAGTAAAGATATGATAGGAAGAAAAATAGCCAGCATGCTGGCATCATTGCCTGTGATCCAAACTAGCTCAACGAGCTGAGACAGAAGGACTCACTGAACCAGGATTTTGAGGTTGCTGGTGAACTAAGCTGAACGCCATAGCACTCGTGCCCAGGCACCAAGCAAGTGAGACGCTGTCTCAAAAAAAAAGAAAAAATTAATATAATAAAAAAGCGTCTTAAAAAATCAATGCTAATCAGGAGGGAAATGGTAACGAAAAGAAAGAAAGAAAGAAAGACGAAGGACAAAGAAAGAAAGGAAATACCGAAAGGAGGGCAGACGTCTCGAGGGCGGTCACGGCGCGCAGGCGGGCGGAGGAACCCAGGAACGACCAAGCATGGGCGAGGAAGTGCTGACACAGGAGCGATACGGTCAAGCTGTCAGGCGGCGCAAGGGCGCGCGAAGAAAAGAAGAAAGAGAAAAACGAAAGAAGAGGAGCAAGAAAGAAAGAACATGCGATGTGTTTTTAAGAAGGAACCTAGTTTCTCTGGATCTGAAGGAATTGACTTCTATTTAGTCATTTGAGGATCATGTATGGGTGCCCGTGTGAGACAGAAGTGCTGTGTCTAAGTATTTTTCCCTGATTCCGTCTTTGCTTTCTTTATTTTAGGTTGTGCATGATGCTAATACACTTTACATCTTTGCACCCAGCGCGCAAAGCAGAGACCGGTGGGTGAAGAAGTTAAAAGAAGGTAAAACTTATGTGGTGACAATGTTAATCAGAACATGGTCTTAGGGGATATGGCATTGTTATCGCTAAAACAGAAATGCAGCGAATGTATCCATTGCACTCTGATAATCTCTTAATCCCCGCAAGATAACTCTTTTCTCCAATTTGCTACCTTCTTGACACGTAGTGGATGCTAGCATAGTGAAGAAACCTGCCCCTCTTAAACACCCGATTCTTTGCAGTGGGGTGTAAATAGGAATAGTTTCTAAGAAAAGCATGCTTTATATGTGTGTGATATAGTTGATATATATGTGTGATATATTTGAAGGGGATTATGACAACAGGATTTTGGTATATTTCTAAGAAATTGCCTATATAGTCAACGTTTGGTGTGGATGGATCGACTATTTTCAGGACATGTTTATTTATTTATTTATTTGTTTTGAGACAGAGTCTCGCTTCGTTGCCCAGGCTAGGAGTGAGTGCCTGTGCGTCAAGCCGTCGCTCACAGCAACCTCCAACTCCTGGGCTCAAGCGATCTCCCGTGCCTCAGCCTCCCCCAGTAGCTGGGACTACAGGCATGTGCCACCATGCCCGGCTGAATTTTAAGTAGTATATATACTAATATACTTATATATGTATTATAAAATACTCTATACATATATAGTTGGCCAAATTATTGCCAACTATATATTAATTATATATATATATTAGTTGGCCAATTAATTTCTTTTTATTTTTAGTAGAGACGGGGTTCTTACTCTTGCTGAGGCTGGTCTCGAACTCCTGACCTGGAGCGATCCTCATTCTGGCTTCCCAGAGAAGCTAGGATGACAGGCGTGAGCCACCGTGCCCGGCCCATGACATGTTTAAATGGGTGATTAGTTCTGCACAATATTCATCGTTTCTCCCACAGAACAAAATAGTGTTGGGCTGACTTTTGCATTTACCCGACGTGCTAGAGCAACGGTCATTTCTGCCAAAAAGGATGTTTCATCCTCCCCACCCCCTCCCACAAAAAAAAAGAGAGAGATGAAAGAGATTCCTTTGGCTTTTTTTTTGAATGCTGAGTTTTATGATGTGATGAGGCTGTTCTCATAATAAACACGGTATCTGAGGAATAAATAATGATCGACAGTGTTACTTAGGAAATATGCTGTAGTCTTCTGTTTTCTTTCACTAATTATTAATTGTCTGTGCATTGCAGAAATCAAGAACAACAGTAATATCATGATTAAATATCATCCTAACTTCTGGACAGATGGAAGTTATCAGTGTTGCAGACAAACTGAAAAATTAGCACCTGGATGTGAAAAATACAATCTCCTTGAGAGTAGTAAGTGTTCATTTTGTTTTATGCCTGTGTCGTGCTCAGAGTGCACATGTTATTGGTATGGCAGGAAAGGGATGTGATTCTGATTTTGATTAAGTACAGCATGCTTTCCTCTAGTTCAGTGTAAATGTAGGGTAGGTGTGTTTTGTAAGAAAAATTATATACTTAGCAGTGGGACCCTCTCATGGAATCAAAGGGTGTTCTCTATCTTAGGGAGCTTTTTTTTTTTTTTTTTTTGAGAGACAGACTCTCACCCCTGTTTGCCCAGGCTAGGTAGCTACCATTCACAGCTCGCTCACAGCAACCTCCAACTCCTGGGCTCAAGCGATCCTCCTGCCTCAGCCTCCCAAGTAGCTGGGACTACAGGCATGCGCCACCATGCCCGGCTAGTTTTTTCTATATATATATTTTAGTTGTCCAGCTAATTTCTTTCTTTTTTTTTTTTTTTTTTTTTTAGTAGAAACAGGGTCTCACTGTTTCTCAGGCTGGTCTAGAACTCCTGGGCTCAAACGATCCTCTTGCTTCAGCCTCCCGAGTAGTTGGGACTACAGGCATGTGCCACCATGCCCGGCTACCTTTTCGTATCATCAATTAGTGGCCAATTAATTTCTTCTGTTTATAGTTGAGCAACGGGTCTCGCTCTTGCTCAGGCTGGTTTCGAACTCCTGACCTCGAGCGATCCTCCCGCCTCGGCCTCCCAGAGTGCCGGGATTACAGGCGTGAGCCACCGCGCCCGGCCCTTAGGGAGCTTTTATGACAACATGGAAACCTGTTAAAAGTGAATCTATTGAATATCAAGTACCAGTATCTGCAAATGTTGATACGAGAAAAAGGAATTAAGTAAATAAAATTAATTAAAAAAAAAAAGAAGTGAATCTATTGAAAGTGGGAGCCTAACGTGGAACCGCCAGCAGCTTCTCTTCCCATCGATGTGGATGTTTGCAACAGATAAACTGCCCCAGCTGTGCATCTAGGAGCCTCAAAGGGCACTGCTGTCGCAATCGGAGTAGGACTCTTGTCATTCTGCTGGGGCTGAGTGGTCTGGATTTCGGTAGTGGCTTCAGAGTCGTTCTGAGCAGCAAGACATCCTAATGACACTCCAGTGTAAACGTGCAGAGGACTCAAAATGTCTAGGGCTGATTTTGACACCTAAGGCCCTTATAAGTCCTGCAAGTGAAAGGCTCTTAGTCATAAGTGGAAAATGCACAGACGTTCAAAGTTGCAAGTGCTGCAGGACAGCCGGAGTGACGGTGGGGTCTGCTGTCCCTCTGTTGTCCTGCTGCCACTATGCAGGACAGTCACTGGGGCAGGACTGATAGAGCTTCTGAATGCAAGTAGGGTGACCATGTGGCAGGAATGCTGCCTTCCGCGGGAGGCCCGACCAGGCGACCTTCTCATTCCATCCAGGCTTCAATTCTAGGAGTCCCGCAGCCTCGTTCTCCTGGGATGTCCCTGACGTTAATTTAGCCCATTAAAGAGTGAGGCTCGGGCCCAGTGCGTGTGGTGGCTCGCGCCTGCCATGCTAGCACTCTGGGAGGCCGAGGCGGGAGGATCGCTCAAGGCCAGGAGTTCGAAACCAGCCTGGGCAAGAGCGAGACCCCCGTCTCTACTAAAAACAGAAAAGAAATTAATTGGCCAACTAAAAATATATAGAAAAAATGAGCCGGGCGTGGTGGCGCATGCCTGTAGTCCACAGCAGCCTCTATCCTGGGCTCAAGCGATCCTCCTGCCTCAGCTCCCGAGTAGCTGGGATACAGG